ATGTTTAATTGCAGTCATCATTCTCAGTCGCAAGTAGATTAAGTTCCAATTTAAATAGCCTCACTCAATATCTAGGACCCTTCTCGGAATAGATCAGTGTGGGGGTGTCCGAATATAAATAACGATTTAAAGCCCATGACAAGTATACTTCACAGACATGCTTGCTGGAGATTGCTACTTTGGGTGGATCGTTTTCGAATAAGTTGGCCCGCTTTTTATGTGGATTATAGACCTTGAAGATAAAAGATTTTGAATGGGCAATGATATTCTGTGATTTTGATTTTATCTTTTTTAGACTAGGCTAATGGGCCATATCTAGAAGCGGTTACAGAAGACTTGTACGTCCTCCCTCCCCCTCCCCCTCCCCCCTCCCCTTCTCTGTCCCCTATCCTCCAGCTTATCCAATTAATGCATTATCCATCATTGATTTAGCCCAGAGGCTAAAGGAAGCTATCACTCCCACATACGAGATACAGTATTATACTAGTAACACAATGTATACGATTTTCACTTAAGCATTTTTGTTTCTTCTTTTGTGATTACAATAATTAATCCAGCTATCTCAGGTAGGCCTACGGAGTAAAAGGTTGATTACATCGTGGGTTCATGAATGCAATAAAGTAGCCGCATCCCCTGCATCATTTTGATTAGAAATTGGTCTAATGGGCCTGAAATACATCGTATTCGTTGCTCATAGAAAAATACTACCCGAACACAACGAGAACACATCTCAGCTATGACAATGATACACGCCAGTGGCAACTAGCCGCCAAATAGAAGAATTGGTGTGCGTTTATTTTCCTTCCACCATTAATTTTTTGACATGGGATATATGTAGCTTATCTTGTCAGCTTTAAAAAATCAAAACAGCTTTCCTTTCATGAATATGGCCAGAATTAGTACGTGTACCTGTAAAAAGGGTGTACCTGGACAGAATTGATAAATACTAGTAATTGATTTATCATAGGACATTCACTCGGGGTTCTGATAAATTACCAAACCAATAATTCTTCTAACTAATGCAATTCTAAATGTCCATAATAAAAGTAAATGAGGTCCACACATTGTCCGTTGTGTGTCCAGCACCTGACCATGCGGTGCAGCCCTTTGTGGTTGGCTTACTTACTTTCAAGTCCATATGAAAAATGTAAGCTCGCCTTTCCCAAGAGAGAGCAATTAGGGGACACGAGAACGTCTCCCTTATCTCAGACTGTTAAATGTTTTTACTTTTGTGGTGGTCCTGTCAACGCCATCCAAGGCTGGGAGCGTACGCGACAGATGTGTTTGATAGACAAGTCACACACACACACGCACAAATATTATGTTTTTTTCCTTTTACCCAAAACACATTTCAATCACTACGGAAACTTTCTGTGTCATTCTGAAATAAGGACAGCTGACTCTCGAACTTGCCTATCCTTGCAGCATTACACCGGAGCGACGGATGTGCTGCATGTAAAGCAGCATTCTAACTTATACCATTTTAGTCTACTCTAACTGAAAGAAGTAGACCGTTTTGTACAGTTAGACAATCCCTGGTTCAAGTGGTCAACGCAATGAGTTAATGAACGGGTTCATCCACAGGCCATTTTAGAAGCCAAATAACCGGCATACTGCCAGAGGTTTGCCTAAGCCTCAACCTAAGTTATAATGATCGTTATTATGACAATGTTAGATTTTATGTCATATAGAATTACTATTTTTCTAATGAGCTTTGAAAAGAAGCCTGTAAGCGTGCACAGTAAAGTCAAGACCGAAATGAATAATTTACATGACGTCTCGAACCATAAATCTAAATATGTTGCCTACCAACTAAATGCATCTAAAAATCATTAAAAATTGGATTTTAGACAATTTGGAGGTAAACGATTAAGAACAATCGGGTCTGTATTATTAAATATCTTCAATATAAGTCATCTGAAGAAAAATAAGAGGTGAATTGAACAGGTGTTTTATTTCCATAATCCTGACAATGTTCTTTTTTTACGAATTTATATATTTGCAAAGTTTAGGATAACAGGTATGTAAATTGACAGTCCAGCTGCAAACTAATTAGCTAATTGGATTCATCTTCGTTTAAGCTTGAATTGGGCCGATGAGTAAACATTTGATTATTAACCGCGGAACCATTTGATAGCATATAGGCAAACGCCCCTATAAACATTTAAACCGACAGGTGTCGACATATCAATTTACTCAGTGGGCTTGTATTTATTGATTTACACCTGCTACTGAAACCACTGTTGGTAAAACCAGGAACCTTTATATTATATCTTGATGCTCGATACACCTCGGGCAACAGCTTGAGCTGTACCAACTTTTTTTGATGTAACTTTGAGTTTATGTCGCAAAAATTAGCGTTGCGTTTTAACCAAAGTGACAGCAGCTGCCTGGAGTGGGCAGCACATTACCTTGCGAAATCAAGAATTAGAATAAGGGATAGTTTTTCTCTCCTTTTTCTGTTCCTTTTTCTCTGCATTGTAATGAATAGATTGATATGAAGCAAGCTCTTCTTTTTGGGTAATAATTTCATTTTTATAATGATAATAAGATTGTCATAGAAAAACATCAGAATTAAACATGAATATGACAAGGAGGAATTGAATTGTTTTTTGTTTTTATTATTGATACAGATTTATATATATGCAATGTTAGTTTATATCGCTCATATAAAAATTCTATATACCATATATGTATATATATATATATGATAACGCCTAACTGACACCAAAACAGTATGCTACAAGCAAAAGCTGCATGGGATAGAAGTATATAGATAATTCAGACACAAGATTCGTACATGACTTGAAGCATACACAACATGGATTGTTTTTTCTTTAAAACCGCAGCATCCACCGTTTACCTCAAGAAATAAAAACAGTTCCTTAATACTAAATGTAAAATATGTCGTCTCGCTGTCTGATGTCACTTACACTGTTAGTCCATAAAAGAGATTAGTTTAAACACATTTTCAACATTTAGATTAACAACTAAGAAAAAGTATATGTTATGAATACTTGAGAGGGATATTACGTAATGCATTGTGGTACCATTCTTATAACATGCAATGTAAACATTAACTTTAACAGATTCATGCGGAAGGAATGGTGTTCGCTTCTGATAGTCTACGTGACAAAGGTAGTGGACAGGTATTTGCCTAATTTAGCTGTCTATGTGTAGTATTGGAACTCCGTCATCACTGGTAGCGTAACGTAAGCTGAATAAATGAATGAAAATCTTCTCATGCACTACAAAATCCCCAATAGTAAGATCTAAAATCCATCCCCGCCATGCAAAGAAGACAGAAGCATGATAGATTGACACAATTAGCGCTGCGCCTGATGTCATCGTGCACATTAATTAGACCTTGCATTACTCCCATTGACAGACCGATTGAATGGGATTGAAACTGAAAATCATGATTTTTCCGGCTTTCGCAACATGATTCCGAGTGTCTGTTACTTTTTTCGATCAATCAGGCTAAGTACTTTGATTCCGTTCTGAGACCAACTGAAGCTAGTTGGTAGACTAAAAGCCCATTTTCCATTTCCCAGTCTGACTAATTACTGAAAATCACTTATTAATTCGGTGAATTAATAGGCTGCATTGTAAAAATTCGATGGTACCCCCTTCTGTTCAAAGTAGTAAAGTGTCGTATGTAAACTATGACTGTGTCTATTATTTGTTTATAATAGATTATATCAATTTTATAAATAAAATCCAGTTTTTAAGCCATTCCTCGTGTCAAACCCGAAACTTATCAACTTCTGTTTTGTAGAAAAAATAAGGAAAATAGGACGACTGGAAAGCGAATGGATGAAGCAGTTTTATTGATGCAAAGACGAAGTTACTTTTGACTGATAATTATCTTTTTTGTATTTTTTTCTTTCACTTACTCTTTCTGCAACAATTTAAGAAGGTTTCAAACATTAATATCATTCACGTGGTGGTAAGGAATGTTTGTAAAAACGCGTGAAAACTGTCGACGTTTGTTCACGGACTCACCTTGACTGTCGCTTCTGATAATGCAACAGGACATTAATGATGATATGCATGATGTGATTAACACGGGCGGGAAACCTTAGTTTGACAACAAATTGCAATCAGCATTTGTCAACAAATGTCTTCAAAATAGCAGCTAGTTAAATTGACAGTGTCAAAACATGTTGGTACTACCCTAGAAGAAGGAAATAGACAGTTAAACAGGTACCTTGCACCTCCGTCCATTTATGCTTAGTAAACACTGGTTTGCCTGGCGACGGAGGTAGTTCTGGTATGCATGATGATAGTAAGACACAATTCTTAAAGTCTGTACGTGCTAAATAGAGATATCTACTTAGTTGATTGCGAATGCCTGCTTAAATAAATGACTAAATTTAGGTGTGGACGCAAGCCATCATTTCCAACATAAGCAATAAATGATGACGAAAATTTCGAGCCACCTTTTAGACAAAGAGAGGGCGTCGTTTCTTCAATTTGATTTATAATATTGATTTGAAAATTGGAGAGTCTAAGGATAGCACATTGAGTCTGATGCAGACGAGTGCGAAGTATGTAATAAAGGCTCCTGTGATAACAGCTGATGGATCACTGTTTGCAGTGAATATTCTTCAAAGTTTTTAACACTCTTTAATATGCAAAGTGCACTTGGAATAGGGTTAAACAGTGGTCTGGTTGCGCATTTCCGTTATTGAAACTGCCCTTTGCTATCCCTTCTCTCTTTCTCCCTCCCTCTCTGTGAAGGGTGGGGTTTTATATGTATTTAGAATGTATAAACCGTGGTTAAAGTAGGTATGTTTCCAGACTATGAGTCAACCACAGAAGTGTGTGCGTAGGGGGACCAAATATAGATGTTTCAGTCAGCGTGACAACTTTTTCACATTACTCCATCTTGACTAGTTTTTGAAAACTTTGTTTAAGTTTTTTTCTTGCAAACTTCCGTTGCCGTGTCACATTTATTCTTTCCCCTCGTCTGTACGGTGACTGCCACTACCGCTGGTTGACATGTATTTAGACACAATCGGGTGTGGGGGCTGTCGTTGGTTTAGGAGTTGTATATAAGCAGAACGAAATCACTCTAAATCATTTCTGAGAGAGCTTTTAATCACTGAGGACTTGAGACATAACAACTGTGGCCAACGATAATATTTTAGCTCTGAACTTGTAAAACGACTATTAGTCCTAGGAGTTAGGGACACATTTAAAACTTTGAGAAACCAAGGACAGAGTTACTAGAACTTCATCTGTTGGGGACTGGTATTCTAATAGGGTGAAAACGGACTGAAAACAAAACACATTCTCTACTCTTGAGGTTACTTGGTGCTGATACAACTGCGTTATGGCCACTTTCAGGTTTGTGTTGGTGTTTCTACGAGGGTTTTTAAGAACCTATTGACACTAGTATAAAAGTTCTAAGCTTTACGCGTGAAGCAGCGGTCAGAAACCAAAGAGCACTGTGTGGGACGTTAATAGTTCTCGTCATTTGCATGACGAGAGAGGATGGAGGCGCAACTCTGCCTGTTGGGTTTAAAAGATGGTGTTCTCTCGCGAGTTTTATAAAGCATCAGGGCGCTAGTTCACGGTTAAAAGGTTCATCCATCACATTTCTTATTGAGAAGATCTCCAAGATGCTCTGTATCCGTTATTTACTTATTTAGTGCTGAGTTACTCTCTCACGGGGAAAATAATCACCGTGCGGGAATAGAATCTTTTCAATTTTTCAACAGAGTATCTTTGGTGAGTAGCAAATCAATCAGCATGATGTAAATCAATCTGGTTTTGTGCAAACTGGCGTGATAAGAACGTTTTCAAACTTGTCAGTTTAGCGGCATTGTGTTGTACACGATCTATGAGCATTGCGCCTGCCAAGGGTGAAAATGAGTGTGATATCAGAACCGACATCCAGTTTCAACATCTTTTAGGTTAGTGTATTAGCAGATTGCCTTTTTATTTCTAGGTGTACGATGTTGCCGTGTTCCACGAATATGCTACTGAAACACATTCTTGCACTCATGTGTGCATTGACGATAGCAAGTGGTTGTTTCATAAGGAATTGCCCGTCCGGAGGAAAGAGAACAATGGAAGATTTTGACACTTCACATCACAGACAGGTAAGAAACTGATGCAGATCGATTGTCATTTATAAAAACTGTGTGTGTGTGTGTGCGTGTGTGCGTGTGTGTGTTTACTCACAATGCGTTTCTCTCCAGCGACTATATTCTTATAACATTTTTCACACAAGTACTCATAAAACAATAACTTTACCTTTTACGGTCAACGAAAATATTTAAATACAGGACAGAATATAATAGACTGTTTGTTATAAGAGCGATGGCGAACAGAAAGTGGATGCTTTATTAAAAAAATCTATGTAGCAAACAGTTACCACTGTAAAGGCGCGAGTATTGAATTAATTCTAGTGATCAATTTAAAGGAAATGCAACATATACATAATAGCATATTAATTCTATGAAGTGTAAGATAATTGTCGAACTTGCTTGTTTTGGTTGGGTCGATGTTCGCACCACATCTTGAGCCTGCACCTTCTTCTGAAGCTTATGGGTAAATGTATATACTTGTTCAGAAGAACAATACTGACTTCAGATAACGGACATAGGGGGTTTTCTTTCGCTTTCTTACCCTATTAATTAAAAAGACATATGTTATACATATAGTATAACCACGGAAATAAAACCAAACTTTGAAAAACTAAAGAAGTGCGAAAGTAGCTTTTTGATTTGAAAAGAAATCTGTTCGATTGTGGGAACGCTAAAATGTTGGACGGTCTTAATTATAAACAAAAAGTGGTAAAATGCAATTTCCTTTTATTTTATGCGAAATGTCAATATTTACTAAGAAACAGACCCTAATGTTAACCATATATGTCTAATTTACTTTTTGTTTTATTCTAAGTTTACTTTTTCAAGTTCAAACGTTGAGTGCGAAAACTAAACATGACAAAAGTTTCAGGCTAGGGGCATTAAATGTTGAAAAAAAACTTAAGTGAAGAATTTTGAAAATCGGGACTGGCCGCCCATGTTTACCCCCTAAGCCTAAACACGAGTTTTCTGTTATTTTTGCTGGAAATGCTGTTACTGTCACGGTGCGTTATGAGAACAGTTCCAAGCACATTTTAAATGCGCCGCTGCCTTTATAGGTACTTGACAGGCGCCGACGTCAATAAAAAGTGCCGTAAAAGTGTAAACAAGGCAGAAACATTCGCCTTAAGTTAAAAAACGACTTTTCCCTATCACTTCTCTCAACAACGAACAGAGCCATAGGAAATGCGGACCGTTTCCTTTCCTAGAGAAATATCCACCTACGACTTGTCGTCATTCACAAGTGAAATAAGACCTCATCTCGACATGGGTGCCTCCATTAAGTATCTTAAGAATCGAACTTTATATGGATATACGGATCAGTTAAGAGAACTACCCATTGTTTTAAACGACAACGTCGTCATATCAAACGTAATTCAGCTCTTCGAAAACTGCTGTGCGTCTAAGAGCTTCTCAGGGTTCACAAGAGATTGACCGGGTTACGACGTAGGATTTCTATAAGGTTTCAATAGCATTTTATTTTTGTGAAAGACAAAGTCCGCTGGGCTGTCACGTTCCACCGAAATGCTAATGGCGCAGGTGGGGTATTCGATTTATTTTGTCACTAATATCCTTTCACTTTCCAAATTGGTAAATTTGAGTTTCATTCGAGACTTTTGGTTCTGATAAATGCAAATGGAAAATTACTGAACATTCTGGTATAATTATATCAAATTAAAATGTCGAACAGTGTTCTTCAATTAATGTGAATTTGGACTCCTGAAGGATGTAGTGTTTATAGGAGGAATCGATATAATAGCCTATGGCGCTATTGAAAGGAACTCAAGGATAAGTTCGAGCACTTATACTTATTTTGGTCCAAGGGCGAGGTTGAGAGTTTTTTTTAAAGTGCTAAAGAGCAGCATATGCTATTTTTATGATAACAAGACCACCTAGCTTCCATTTATGGCTAAAATACCGCTTCACGTAGGTTTTTGATGGGGATATTAATGTTGCAATTTGATTATGTTACCAAGGGTGTTTGTCGAGCAAATGCATTGAGTTTGGGCATGTGATTTTTGTCAAAATGATCAATTATTTTCATTTGATGCCTTGCCTCCAGCTTTTTTCTTTTTTCTTCAGTTTATTCTTCCTTTCTTTCTTTTCTATTCCTTTTCATTCATATTGTGTATTAAGGTAGAGAGTTGAAAAAAGATGTATAACTAAGAAAACTGTTTTTGAAGAGTCCACTGATGTTTGCTATCTTTGTCGGACACGTGGTTTATGTGGTAGAAAGCAGCGGCCTCGAATTAAACGACACAGAAAAGACAAAATTTCATAACAATCGTTGTGGTTAATCTGCATTCACGTCAGAAGTGACCTCAACTTAGAACCTCAACCTTTTTCTTTGTTTTTAAGAATGGTGTACACCGTTTATCATAATTCAGTTGTTTTTGGTTTAACACGCCTAGCCAACACATTTTGTAGTAGGAATTAAGGTCCATTGGTTGTTTCATGTCTATTTTTATAATTGAGAAGTAAAAAAAGACCATTGTATCGAAAGAAATTTGATTTTGTCTAAACAAAATCATCCATTTAAGGCAAGTGTGTATTTTAAGTGTGTTTAAAAGAAAATTGTTCAAATATGGATTGTTCATATTTTCAGTGTATGTCATGTGCTGACGGGAGAGGCCAGTGTGTCGGGCCTAGTATATGCTGTGTGGAAAAGGGAGGATGCCATGTGGGCACATCAGAGGCCGATGTATGCAAAAAGGAAAACGAATCTAATACTCCATGTTCCGTGAAAGGAAAAAGTTGCGACAGCAGCCTTTTTATGGGCAAGTGTACTGCGGACGGCATATGCTGTAATTCAGGTGAAGCACCAGCAATTTTCCCTCTGTAAATGAATCATAACATTTAATTATTTACGTTAAAACGCGAGGGAGGACACAGCCATCAACACCGACATCACCGAGACATCGCACAACTTCTCTCTCTCTCTCTCTCTCATACACATACACACACACACACACACACACACACACAGAGAGAGAGAGAGAGAGAGAGAGAGAGCATTTCATGATTGTGTTTTTTTCTCTCCCCCATCTTAACGCAATGCGTTGTGTCTGTCTCCTCTAGCACAATACTAATTCTAGTTCCTTTCTCTTTTCAGAGTCCTGCGTAATGGACGATAACTGTCGGACTGCATTTTCATCAAAATATAGCAAAGAGTTTCTACTTTTTGTGAAGAATTTACTAGAAAGTGCCAAGAAAGATCAACACTGAGACCCTCACAAGAGGAACGAGTTTAAAGGGAGTCTCCCAGCATTACAAACGCGTTCAATGGCAGATTAACAAGCTGAAGCAAAAAAGAAAAAAAGGAGTTATAATGTTTTTGCGGTTTCATGTCCTTTATATACATACATATTTTATGACTAATATACCTGAGAATTTTCAGAAACCGGTTAGTTCGTATTTTTGTACTCAAACCAAACTGACATCAAATCTGTTAATTGGTGCACACTAAAGACTTTCTGCACTTTCTGTTGAATTCTAAAAAAATTACATAGTGTTTTAGAGGGTTTTGAATTTAGCATGTTGGTGGTCGGAAACGGTAATATCATTAGTCACTTTTGAATGCCTTATTGATGTGGACTAAATTAGAAATGACACACGAAACTGCTATCTTGTATGATATTAGTAATTATGATTAAAGCATATTTCCTTTTTGTACAATTTTCTTAACTTTTTTAAAGTTAATAGTATTGAATATCAATATGTATAGCACTATTCCGTTAAACGCTTAAGTTTGTCCTGTATAAATTTGATAAGGAAAGAGGGCACGTAAGCCATGACAGGTTGTCCCTCGTCGGCCGAACTATTGACCTGAGATGATAGCCTTGTCTAAGGGACATAAATCTTCAATGTTAACTAACGACTAGCGGCGGAGGATACAAATGTGAACGTCAATCAAAAAACCTTATATATGTACACGTTCACTCAGTTCAGTGAAATTCTTTTTTAAGAGAATCAATACATAATTTTTGTGTTAAACAAACTGCTTTGTAAAGTTAACGCTTTAAATTTATTTATGTTTTGTTCTTGCACTAGCTGTCACGTGCTGAGATTGCACCTGTGCTGAGATTATCCCGTCAAATAAAAATGATATGATATGAACGGAGACGTGTTAGTCAAAGAGAGTTAAACCGGATCGCTGAAAATAAAATATGATTAGAAACACAGGATTGAAAGACGAGTGAGGTTCATTTTGGATTCTCGCACACAATTGTCGGTGGTTGGTCTTTTCAACCATACATTTAGTTATTTATCATGAATAAACACGATTTACGAAGATCGGCAGTGTCTGTTTTTAATGAAAGTAATTTGCTAATATGACACCACTCCATCAGATTACAGGAAAACATCTTTCAGGTGTCTTAGATTCTTTAGCTGATTAATTCTGTAGCTAGATCAGCTTGTGCTTTCAAAAAGATGATTATATACGTCTCATTTCTTCTTATCCTGTACGTGACAGTAAAACTCATTATTGTTATATCCTTGTATTCATAGTAAATCACCGTAGCATCTCTGAAGAAGCGTTTTAAATCAATTAATTTTCTTTCGCTTTCAATACTATAGTGTCGTGTGCAAAAAAGTGCATTTAAAGCAAATAGTCTTATTGACTCTGAACATTATATACATAGAATGTACAATAATCAGATTGGTTTCTGTGATGTGTTAATTTTCACCGGAACTCTAGTAATAAACGCCACAAATTAATTTCAGCTACAATAGGCTTGAAATAAAGTTCCCCTTGGAAAAATAAGACAGTGAGACCATTTGAACCTCTGAAACTAACATTACACACTGGTTTCTTAGTTATTGAGTAAGGTCCCAGGGGATTTTTTTTCGTTAGGATTTTTAGTTATCCGCTTGGATAATGCAAGAATAAACAGTGTCTGTTATGAGCAAATGCTGTCGCAAAAATAAAAAAGAATATATCGTTTAAGTTCCTATAGCTTTGACATTAAAGATGGTCTGGGTAATCTGGCGTTCGTTGATTAAGGTAACGATCAAAGGCTCGGACTCTGGGAACTTCTGCCTGAATTATTCGGATCAAAGATTCAGCACAATGCCTTGGGATTGTTTTTGCCAAATTTAAAAAATAGACGAAGCCAGGGACAGTTCAAGACTACAAATTTCCGTATGCTAGTCCATATTAAGAACCTTTATTAAAAGAGTTACAACCAACAGATCCATGAATGTTTTTTTTTTCTTTTTTTTTGTACGAAAATGCTAAATTCTTCGGTGGTCAGACATGCACTTTTTCACAAAAGGTTTTGATGGAAGTAAACATGGGGGGTGAGGGAGATTCGCGAGTTTTTAATAACTTGTCTTGTTCATTTTGACAAGACAATACATCAGAATGACACCGATTTATCACTATCACACTGAAGCAGTGCACACACAATGGTTCTCATCTCTTAAGCCCTTCTCGTGGATACTGACCGTTCCATACTACAGCGTGTTTCTAAATATCACTGATAACAGCTCAGTCTTTAAAATGTACATTAATTCAAGAAACTGAATAATCCAAGTGATTCCCTAATGGATAAAGTGCTTAATTTGCCTTCATTAATTCATTGACAACTAATACCTTTCCCCTTTGGGGTATTTTTCTGCTGGCCTTAAAAAGATCAAATGCGTCTGGCCCTCTGATAACTTAGCTATTACTTGCTAGAAGTTAATATTCTGATTTTTAAAAACACTCAAACACTAGTAAGGCGAGCCCTAGATTTAAAGAATAGGTCTATTAAGCCCATTGATCTAAATAATGTAAAGAGTGAGGCAGTCTTATCCGTCTTCTGCACGAGGATCTTGATCTATCTTTTATATGTGTGTGCGTGTGTGCTTTTAATATGGTCATGCGGTATATGGCTCATGGAGTGGCTTCATTTTCTAGAGGATGAGAGTGGACACAAAAAGATTTATGTTAAAGCCAACATATTAATTTTATTGACAATTTTACTAGACACAATACTAATGTAAATGAAGAGCTATGTTCTAACGGATGAGCGTTGTAGAGGCAAACAATTTTCTCCTATGGCGTTGCTTTGAAAATGAAAAGTAGCCCAGCTTCAGCTTTCCTTCATATTCTTTTGTCAGCATAAAATTTCAAGTCAAGAAATTTACTTAAACACAACATTTATTTGATTTGTTCGATTTGGAATTCTGTTCCAAAAGATGAAGCAAATGGTTGGTGATTTAGTCTGTGTTCTAGTCTGCAATGAAAGCTGGTTTGCATGTCAGGTAATGACCAGTTGACATGTACATGTACAGTGTCGGTTGCATAGTTAAACGAGTGTATTCCATTGTTGTGCTTTCTAAACAACAAGGGCCAGTTTAGGTAAAATGATAGTATGAAAATATTGACAGATGAATGAATGAATGAATGAATAGATAAATAAATAATTATGAAAGATGAAAAACTATGGTTTCAAAATAAAAGGAAAATGTTGGTGAACTTACTGTAAACATTTATGTCCTGTCTATCCTCTGTTAATGAAAAAATCTATCTATCGTTCTTTTCAAAGATCTCATGAAACAGTCTCTCTCTCTCTCTCTCTCTCTCTCTCTCCATATCGCCTGCAATACGGCTGTTGTAGAGAGCGTAACGTACTGTTTGCATGTGTAACCGTGCGGGGAGACTTGTGTCCGAATTGCACGATATATTTTATTTATGCATTTGATTACTACTGTGATAGCTGCACTCAATGTTATCGTTGTTAACATACAAACTAGGACAAATCAAATAGACAAATCCTGAAAATCGCTATAGTATACATCCTGGGCAGTTTCTGTACCTGTAGCATGCAACGCCCAACGCAGCGAGCTGATGATTTCTGAAAGCAGTTAACTTGCAGGTAAGGTTGAATGAAAATGCGTGCCCTCGAAGCTTCAAAGATCTCGTGTTTTAATATTGCAAATGGGTTCTTTGCTTTCTATCTGTCATCGCACAGTATCTCTTGAAAGTGTTTTTCAGAAGGAGCATTGATGATTCCCTCCCTATGCCCAAGCTGTTTAAGCGAAGAAAGGTCGATCCATTACTTCACTGTAATCGACGTGTTAGGGATGATTAAGCAGCCATCAGTCGGGTGCGGTTCTCGGGAAACCGCCCGTTTAATTTTATAAGTGTAGACAGCTAAAGTAAAAGTACCTGTTTTAAGAAAAAGTACATGATCCCTATCAGTGGCTAAAACACCCTGTTATATTGAATCATGCAACCTTAATCAAGAGATAGTAGACTCCACATAATGGGACTTACTTAAAAGGACCTAGAACGCGCGTCAGGTGCTTCCCCCTGATTAACTGTCGTTTAAATGACAAGCAGATTCATGAACGTCCGACGTGGGAATGGTTTATGTTGTACACTTTCAGTCCAGACACTTTTATGTTGCCGTTTTATCTAGATACTGAGGTGCGAAGTCCTCCATCATATTTAAGCTTCTTCATCAGTCTTGAGTGCAGAGTTCCTGGAGAGCTTTAAGCACAATTACAGATAGATTACACTGTGTGAAAACATTTTACCATGTTGGATATGATACATTACGTGCTATTGAGATTTGTTTTGTGATTTAGTCTTTTCCCCTCTTTTTAACATTTGATTGACGATGCAGAGCCATCCGATGAACCATTAATTTGTCTGCTTTATTTCTCGAGTTTCATATATTTTAATGGATATAGTTTATGGTGCAGGTTCTGTAATATATCAACAGCTGATCTTACCTGACATAAGCATCTTTCAGATCCCTGATGCTTTCACACTTATTTTGCAGCCTGAAAATTTCTGATATTGCGGTGGATACATGAAATCCCTGTGAAGGGTTTCAAAATCAAACTATTTTTTTCTTATTCTTGATATCAAAACAAAAGTGTAGATCTTCGTGTATGCCAGACTATACACTATTATTACTAGTTCCTTATACTTTTTAAAAAGTACACATGTGAATACATTTGAAATGAAAAAATCACAAGAAGCATGAAGTGTAATTAAATGTAGCTGTATAAACTTGAAGTATTTTAAACCCGAATATTTAATGATGCCATGTCCCGAAGACACGTTTTTCGACTCTTTTTCCGCAACGGCTCAAAAATTCATAAATTAACATACAGCATCCAAAATTGTTTTCTGGGAGATTTTTTTTCGTTGGAACCTAGTGATTTCCATTGGTAAATCGCAACATCTTGAACATTTATGCGTTTTCTCAAGTTTTTATGTTTCTTTTCCAATTGAAATGCTTAAAACATGTTAATATGATGCCATATACTTCCCGTCAGGCACAAAATCCATTTTGTTTTGATGCAAAATTATCGCTTTTTCTTTTAAACCTCTAAAATTATTTGCTGATAAAAACATTTGTCTCTTACAATTTAGTGTTCTGCCACATGCTGTTCTCTCATCATAGTCTTCACTTTTGCTGCGATGATGTGCAAGTATTATGAACTATGTATCTGGTGTTAATATCGTTACTGCTGAGCAAGTCAACACCAGTCTTGGCTTCGTTGACGGATGCCTGCATTAGCGGTGAATCCAGCTGTGGCGACCGAAGAATTCCGCTCACATAGAGTTGGTGAAAGGATTTACGCTTTCAATAATTTTACCGACTTTTCAATTTTGTGCTCCAGGAGATTTTCGGCAAGTTCATTTGTAAGCTGCTCGGTATTTGCCAACATTGAGTGCATTGGTGTGATATACTCGAGTTTATGTCTGTGTGTGTATTTACATTTATTGTCTTCAACATCTGTAATTTGCTATCGTTTTTTATTTGGCTTCCCGAGTCATTCGGTTTTCAATTACATATTGTTATAATTACTTCAGTATATCAATACCTCATTGCACCCCATCCCAAAATAGATAATCATTATTAATAATTATCTATAGCGTCGACATAATGTAAGTTTTGGGCAATTTCCCATACATATTTTAAGTTTATTAACCGTCCAGTTTCATTTACCCGCCTTCCAAAACAGTATTACACATTTGTGTGAAATTGCGAGCCAAACATGCCACAGTGAAGCCGTTTCATTAACGCTCTGGACTAAACACTTCAGAATCAAAATACACAATGAAATACAGAAATTGACAAAAATAAGCAAAAGCTGGTGGCGTGGATTTATTTATCGAGTATTTTTACATTTGAGGTCTCAATAGCACTTCAGTCTCTGTATGCTGTAGATGAAATAACCCCCTCCCCCGGAAAATGATATGTACATATTTGACTAAAGACCAACTATCTGTATTTGGTCTTATAAACCTATTAACATTTACCTGAAATGCAGTAAATGTGTACTTCTCAACAAAACTGCTGTCGCATTACTAATTGATTATATGCAGCATAAAACGATCTCCATAAAAAGGCTACAGACGTCCATTCTAATATATTTCATGCAACCAATCGGTACTAAGAGTTAAACGTACTTAATTAGGAACTAATTTGTTCACTTATTATATAAACAGATCAGCATTTTTGAACGTGCTTCTGTGTGCAACGCTATACAGGTTGTTTTGGTGTTAACCATTTTACTAATTTGTTTCCATTTCTAGCTATCATCTTCAAGAATGGCAGTGCAAATCTGCGAAAGAGGCAGGTTAGAGGAGTATCTTATGGTATTGTAACCCATCTAATTAATCAACAATGCCTCTATGTTTGGGCTGATTTAAAACAATAAAAATAACCCACGAAAATATAAAATATCGACGTTTATATTTCTCGTTGCAATGTATAAGCATAGGCAACTCAAAGCTTTAATCGTCAATTTAACACCTTTCAATTTTGAGGTGAGTAAGCAAGTGGTATGGCGCATAACTTCATCCCTGAACAAAATTTTGTCAAGACAATTGGCAGAGTTGACCACAAGTGAATGGGCTACAATCCCGTGTCGTCGTTTTGGTTTGATGTTTTTTTAATCGAGTTAAGAGCCCCTAATTACAGATTTTCATTAAACAAAGCCATTGTTTTGCTTTATCAACGATAAAATCTATTACTTCTAAGAAAAATCGCTGGCAGGGTTTTGGAGTACTAAATGGTGTCATTAAATCGGTGTTGAAACGGTGATCGTGGGTGCTCAGATAAAGGAATAATATGAGAAACCGATTTTTCAATTTTTACCCCAAAATCGCAATTATGACGTCACCCGTAAGATAACATATGTATAAATGTTAATTAATTTAGTCACTGATCATTGAAGATTTATCTATTACCCAAAAGAATGTATGTAAGGCAGTAAATAAGGAGATTGCATCGAAGGGTGACAATATCCTAAACTAATTTTGATGACGGTTTACCGATGTAACGGACCAAACGAGAATATACAGTACATATATATATATACAAAAAGCTTTACAAGATTTATGCACTGTGTTAAAAGTATTATTTATGTTTCGGTCCTTATTCAAAAACTTAATGAATTTTACTTTTCCAGGGAATAGGCTTAGATGACGTTATATAAGTGAGTATCATATACGCTATAGAAACTTGTTTTTGTTGATTTCAATGACTCTTTGTCAAAATGTGTGTGGCCTTAAATTTCTGAGAAAGCAGAACGCTGGGAAACCTGCTGCGGTTTTGACTGATGGTATTAAGAAAAAGAGTCGCATCATACACGCAAAACTTCATTTACTTGAACTGCACGTGGCGAGTGCGTAACCTCGCATAACGCCGTTGCCGTTACAGGTGTCTTCATCGTAAACAAAGCGACACTTGTTACATTTTATAATCAGTCGCAAGCAGATAGAGGAGAATCTCAATATTAATTCTGTAGCTCGGAGTAGAATAAGCTACCAAGTTTTTGTTCGTCAATTTACAATCTACAAATTTTAAGATACACGTTACATTCTAAATAACTCGCAGAATAGTATTAATCTTTAATAACTTGTTGCCGTTTTTATTTTCCTGTGATCATAGACAATGAATAACCCTGTCTGTCTGTAGCAGTATTTACCAGCAGATGAGATATGTGTTGATTTATTGCGATCAATGATAGGAGTAGTGAGATAACGGTTAAGTGAAAAAGGTAGAAATGTGTTTTGAGTGAGACTTGTTGACCCAGGAGACAGGAGCCAATTAATAACATTTTGGAGAAATATTCATATCTCTGTAACGAGACGCCATTTTAGCTCTTAGGTTGATTCGCTTGATTTATGTAACCTCTGCTTAAAAGTACCACAAGATCAATAGCTTTACTCCGATAACAACCTGCATAATGATTTCTGGAAATATTGGAATAATTGAATAATTTTGTATTTTTGAAGGAAGAGCTTAACATGCTCCACCATTCTGATGTAAAAAGCGACCTTTTTCAATCTTTTGATTCTTTAAATGAAAGAAGATAATGAGCAGTCTTACCCAATATAATACCGAGCTGTTTGCATAACTATCACGTTTTCTTTACATCTCTGATAATCTGTACTTCATCTGTGACGCTAGACACAAATGCTAATAGGTAAGTGATTATAACAAATCTAGATCTTAACTGCGTCAAGATTATTACTGTCATGGACATACCTGTGATGTTAAGAAGTAAAAGCATCAGCATTTAATTTACAGGCAGCAATATCCTCATAATTATGAGGATAATAGAGGGCGATGCAAAGAAACTGGAGACCCTGTCCTATAAACAACCATTATCTCTCTGGGATTTCTTTGCGCGGAGCAGATCGTTAGAGCAGAGTATACACAACGTCGCCAGTCTATGACAGATTGCCAATTTAACTCCTCTTCGAGGAACAAATCCCATAGGTAAATTTTTCTTTATTTTTTTCTCAAGTCTTTCTAAGTTGCAGTCTTGTATCGAGCGAGTATTGAGTCGCATGAGACAATTTTGGTCACATGCAATTCAAATGACATATATACAGTAGGGAAAAGTACAGAATTAGCCGGAGACTTATGATACGTAGGAATATCTGGTGAAAATTATTCTAAGGTTCCGGTAGAAGGTATCATCTCGTAAGGATTTGAGACCAGGCTTACTTGTGACACTAGTATTTTTTTTTTTTTTTTTTTTTTGGGGGGGGGGGAGTGGGGCATAACACAAAGCACAGAGGAACATTCAGTGTATAGGCAACAAACTTACACGTTGAGTGCATAACCTGGTGTCATTTTCTTTTTTTTTTCTACCATGTTGTTATTGCATTACTAAATCTAAATGAACTTGATTTTAATCGACCCACTGGGACGATATAGCAAATTGGTTGTGTAAGAAAATAACACTTTGACGTGACTTTTTGAAGACGAAAACAAGATGAACTGATACAGTATCGTCATGTATATACATATTACAATCATGAGGAAATAAATATTATAGATATTGGTATTTTAAGACGAGTTTTCAGTCAATGTCGGTCTACCCTAGAACTTGGTGGGGTCGACCTACATGTGCATGTTACTTATTTCGTATACAAGATTTATTTCAGCAGTATTTGTGATTACAATTTCAAACTATAGGAGCCCTTTACAAGGTACATAAGTAGGGCAACTTACCTCAAAGAAAATTGCATCTGGCAAAACAATGAAATAGGATGCACTATAAAAAACGCATTGATGATAATTTATTGAGCTGTAATATGGAAAATATACATAAGAAATTGGTGTCGATCGTGATGTTGGGTTGTTGCTGGATTAGATTGTCAGTCCAGTAGATTTACTACACTGTACCTGTCTTTTTGTCTTCTGTGCTATCACGCTATGTACAGTCAGACCAGCGGCTCTCATAAGGGATTAGATTGGCTTTCGAGAGCTAAAACTGGTTACCAGACGATCTTGACTGGGCAAGCACCTTTAGATTGAATCACTCTTATTCAGTCTTGGTGTTATGATCTGTATTAACACGATAAATAAATCATACTGTGGTTAAACAAGGCGTGGGTTTACGGTTTGTATTGTGTGAGGCACTGTGTTATCGCTCACTTCTTATCATGTAAATAGGCAAAGTAGCACTTATTGGTTGTCATTTTTATTGCTAAATCTTTGAGTGCTCAGGAACCGACTCCTCCTTCCTTTTACACTCTACTGTGTGTCTCTGTCTCCCACATCTTTCAGCTGTAAAGACGGATCTAAGGGGGGGGGGGTGCTGAGCCCTAGTCTTTTCTAAAGGGGGTGAGATGTAATAGAAATAGGTTTGGCATCTCTTGACAGACTAGCAGAAAATAAAGTTATGATTATTTGCCAACTGCGTTGTTTGGTACTCTTCAGTATCATCATTATCAAATGAGCAATCAATTAAATCAATTACCGAGCACTGTAACTGACTTAGTGTTAGGCCTTCGATATAAATTGGAGAGGTTTCTTCTCGAAGTCTCTATTTCCGATTGATTTACATTGGCCTTTCGTGACATGAGTCGAAAATATTGTAATGTGCCCACGTAATTAGCGTTGTGTCCAACGACGTGCTATAAATGAAAAATATTTTTTTTAAACAAAATCCATTACTTTTCTTTTGTACGCCTAGCTTGAGTTGGGATCGTTTATCAATTCTCATGGGACCGTTTTTAGAAGTCATATTTCAGTTTTTTTTTAACATAAGGCATAATGAAAAAAGAGATTCAAACTTTTCCATTTTTATGTAAAATAAATGTGATATTTGCATACTGTAAATGCGGAAAGTACTCGTAGTTCATAGCAGTGGAAAATAAACAACAAAATGCTTTATTTGTTGAATAATTTAAACTATTTTCCTTTGGCAATGATTTTTAGTGGTATGGTAAGTAGGCTTTCTTACAGAACCGACAATGCCTCGATATCGTTGCCACCACTGTATACAGAACAGAAATAACTTCTATCAAGCATTGCTATTCAAACCAGAGACCGTTACTATATTAGAGGTATTTATTTATTAATGAATGCTGACAGCCAAAGAAGATTGAATATGATGAAATCCCGACCAGCTACAATATGTACAATTATGGACGAAGACTTGGGATAGAAACCTATAGAATATCGAAATAGAGGTGACTTCCCCTTATTAATTCAAAAATACCTCACTCGACGAGCGCCATAAAAGATTAATTAGGAATCTAGCAGATGGTGCGCAATCACAGCGCCGGTATGGCGTATGAGGACAAGTAGGCCTATCACTCGCAGTTCATAACGTTTGACCATGCCACTGACTCTTGGAGAAACTTACAGAACTTACAAAGCTTTGTTCCATACAAATCTTAAGAAAAAAGGGGAAAAACACAGAGAGGGAGAGATATGTAGAGATATAGTAATATATGGTAATTACAAAATAAGGCCAAAAAGAAAAAAAGAAAGAGGAAAATGATTAAAACCGATGCTTGAGCCACGCTACAAAGGCTTACCGGTACCTAAGTCAATAGTCGATATATAGCAAATGTTGCGGTAGCTGTATCAACTCGTGTTCGAGTTTATCTTCCCAGTAATGTAAACGTTGCATGTTCAAAGAAGCTTCGCTTTTCAATATCAGGACGAAATAAAGTAGATACGATACACTTGACCATAAGATCCCGCCATGGTAACAAAGAAACGAACGGGGAGAAAATTAAAATAACCATTTTATGTTGTCCTCCAAATAAACATGCAATAAATCAGAGAGTAAATAAACGATGCATCAGTATCTTAAACGAGTCGCCTTTCATCGTCCCAATATAAGGCAAAATAAGGTGTTTTTGCATTGCACGTTCTTCCTTACATTTTACTTTCTTTGGCTGCAAGACAATGCGACAGAAGATTGGATCATTGCGTGAGGTGTAAAAGGTCGGTTAGGGTTGTTGACCTACGAAGACTTGGCAAGTCTTCTCCAAGGGAAAATATCGCATGGCGCCCCTTGTTTATTATCTTTAGGAGCCCACATTGGACAAATCCGGCAATAACGTTACAGGCACTGGTTCAGTCTGAACTCATAACTCACACGGAGAGAGGATGTAGCATGTATCGGTGAGTGAGTATAATGATGATTTAAAGGCGATTTCCATCAGATCAATGGTTCAGAGATAACCTTTGATATAGATATGTGTCTTTTAATGATTTCATCGAATTTGGAGTTTCTATTTGATTTCTGGCTTTTCGCCCCATAGCTGTAAGCACTGACGGGTGACGCCTGGGTTCACTGCCTGTCAGTAATGCAATATAAGGGATTGGTCAAAAAGTCAAAGATAAAGAAAAAAGGAAAAAAGAGGCACTTGTGAATTATTGACCTTTTTTCAATTATGGTCTTACAGGTGCGTATTCAGTATTTATTTGTTTTGTCTAATTTTAAACGTGTGCATAAAGACGCGATTTTATCTTCTGTCCTTAGATTATCTGAAGTCCTTTAATAAGATTGGGACACATTTAGAAAGCTGATTAACAGCTAAATTTAGATACAATTTATTTTCAATTAAGGTAATCAACTCTTCGTGCAAAATATCGTGCGAAGCTTTTGCTTTCCTGCTATTTGATCCAGCTAGTGGAAGTTAGCTTCAACTGAAGACTGATCGTCTTTCATATTTCACGTCTTTTCGTTTCTGGTGACAAGTTGTTGAAATCATTTGGTTTCAGTAAATGTTTTTTTATATGTCACTTCTGATCAAATGTGTCTGCATTTGTCAAATAATTAGAAGTTTCGTAAATTTTAGATTGGCATGTACTATCATCGGTATACATGTACATTGTTATAAACATGCCACTGCTTTGATATTAGAATCTGTCTGACAGCTTATTTGTGTTTATCTGAGGTCACTATTCAGGTTTCCCCGTTTTTGCAATGCCGACGGGATTCTGCATTACATTTCTGCCAAGATTAACAGCAAATGATGAGGAATGTTAATCAGTGTTGCTTTTAAGAAAAAAAAAACGAAATGGTATCATTTTGCGAACATTTTACATGTTAACGTGGAAGGATGCTAACGAGTTCGCTTTTGTATAGCGTTCTATGCATACTACATATAAAGTAGACTATCTCTGCCTCTGTCCCGACTTCTATGGTTAAATGGATACTATACTAAGGTATATAAATGTCCCATATTTTCAATTTAAGCATCCTGCAAAGTTACTTATCTTTCCCAATTCAGAGCTTGACTACAATAAAATCCCTCAAATAAAAGCATCTGGAGTCGATACTTCCTTCCGAAATGTACAGGAAGAAATAGAAGTCTAAGTAACTAGACATGACCAGTCATTTAGAAATGAATTTTTTAATTAGAAATTGAATAAAACATTCCAAGCGCAAGGGTAGGTCGAGTAATGATTCGTGAGCAGGACAAAAATTGCTTTTTTCGAGGAAATTTCGATTTGGTGGTAAAGTCCTGGATATTATTACTTTCAATTGAGGACTCTTTATTTACACAGGTTCCCTGGAAACGCATAGTCATGTATTACATTCTTTTTATCATTACCTTCTTATTAAAGTTTAATCTAAGTGCAACATTAGTTACTGATACTTGTCAGTAGGTCTACCCATCTAGCGTAAAGCATAATAATTTGTATAATACTGTAATGTCTGTAATGGCATTCATCATCCAGCGATTCAAACAGAAGTGCCAGAAAGGCAAACGCCTTACGCATACTGCGCACTTAACTTCTCTGCATGGACTAATATTTGTATCCTATTTTTTCTTTACTATCCATATCTTTCAGATATAACACTAATGTAAACGGCACGGAAGTATATATGTGACCATCTGCACTGATATATGAACGCATTGTGAAATGTTTGGTAACATAATCTCCGTAGCTGCTCACAATACAGGTAAGTTAGGCTGCCTGCATGTTTAATCTTCTTCATTTAAATAAGTCAGTGCTATTTGACTGAGATGCCAAACCATGTATGCTTATTTTTAAATATCAAAACGGGTCGAGAAAACCACATTAATATCATGCCATGCGAAAAAATCTCTTACGGATTGCAGTTGAATGTTTCTTTGTTCACATGAAAAAAAATATTTTCATATTTTCATGTCATTTAAATCATTGAAGTACACAAGAGATAAAAAACCGAAAGCATGGCAACAATAACAAAAGGTATTTCAGGCCATATATGCTGGAGCCAAATGATTTACAAAAAAGTTTAGAATTACAAAAGATTCATGTATCGATTCCTGACAAAACGCATGCCATAAAAGACAAAATCTTCACCCTCGCGATGTACACAAATGCATTGTATATGCAGCTCTCAGCGTTTTCCTTTCCGTCTCTAACAAATGGATTAGTAATTATTTTTAGTCGTTGTTACCCATAGTTCCTGATGCACGGTTTTTACATAGCGTCACACTTAGCCGGTAAATCCTCAATGGTGCCCTCCAAAAAAAGGTAGATCGGGCTAACATTTATAGAAATGCCATAAGTTGACATTTAAAAGTAATGAAGAATGCGTAGGGACACTTATCAACGAGTGGTGGCTTTAAAATCAGATTCGGTTCGGAATTGCGTTCAAATGATTATCGATAACTTTGTGTTGCTGTAAAGATCACCGTTATTGAGCTGAGTTACTATGAAGGAGATAGCATCATGAAGTCTGAAGAGTCAGATTAGTGTGCAATTGTAACAGAACAAAAGGTTTGTGATTTGCATCAGTCAGCTGGTTTTCATTCTTTATATAACATTCGACCTACCTTACACTTATGTAACGTTTTAAATCTGTGAAGAACATTCCTTTTTTAATTTAGTCCGTTTGTTCGTGTACATGCCACATATATTTGTCGTATGTCCTTTGAAAATCTCAGAGGGAAACATAGCAGGATGTTTTTGAGGTTGCTCTAGAGTATGCTATAAGGTCTTTTGGGAAAAAATGTATAATCAAGAAAACGTGGTACGTACCGGGTACATATACCTGTACTGTCAAAATGGGTGGTTGATTTAACTGCTCTGTCGTCTTTAAGTAGATATCAAAGAAGGTTAGCGTGCGCAAGGTTTTTCTCAGATAAAAAGAAAATAATTTTTGTGTTAGCAACTTCCTGCTCTTTGCAACACTCGCTAGGTTGTAGCATGTACACATTTGGCAGAAGATGGCAAACTACACTGTTTTTTATTTGAAATGGGCCTTCGCTTTATGCGCAGTTGCTTCATGAACTCTTTTCGTCACGGCATTCCAGCACATTAACATGCATTGTAAAGGTGTTTTGTGTTGTGTGCAAAGACACTGAAGCCAAAAAAAAAGCCATGTTTATTCACATACATCAAACCAGGCTCCTTGGCACATATGCGGAGGGATTTATAACGTTTGTATGGCACTACTTTGCAAAACTTCCTGTTATTTTCAAACAGCTTTGTGCACCTTGATGTACTGGTGCTTATTTGACTCTAAGACTCTCTCAGGTACACATCTCTCTATTACATCTCGATGTCATGACCAGGTCCACGGGTCACGAGAACAGTTATTCTGATGCCGTACATAACAAGTGCTCGAATGTCAAATGATGTTTGCCGGCAGCCATGACGTTTTGCACTGCGCTAACACGAAAACGTGCTTAAATTGGCATGTAACACATTGCGTTAATACTAGAAACTAAGCTGTCGTTTTAAAAAACGTTTTGCATGCTGTAGAAGCATTAAATTCCAAGCAACATGTTGGAGGGGCCGGGCATCTTTACTGAAGAAAAGGCATGTGCATTTACTTGACATTGGCTCGTTGTCAGTACTAACTGGTGTTCAGGGCCTGATTTCTGCATAAGCAGCAGACTAAAGGGACTAAGCAAGTGGTTAGAACACCACAACTGGGGGGAGGGGGGCACCAAGCTGTCAAAGTAAGAAGTATACTTAAAAGGAAAAAAGGGTTTAATAAGATCTGAGAAAAAAAACCTTTGGACTACAGAGAAAAAAAAACAGAAGAATATATGGAAAGGATATACATACTTGTAAAAATGGGGTTTTGATTGCAGCATGCTATCTGTTCCGGCATGGGGGTGGGGGTGGGGGGGTGTTGGTGGGGGACAACGTGGTGCTGGGAGTGCTTAGGGCACCAAGAGGCCCAAATCTGGCCCTGTTGATATTGTGTGAAGTTTTTTTCTTATCTGCATCATGACACTTTAAAGTGTTAAAGCGTCGCTCTTAGCACGGTGCAGCGAATCGTTTTAAGACAATTAGATGAAGAGACGTTGCAAAATGCGCAGTTTGATGTCAACGTTTCACCGGAAATTATTTTGATAGTGAAAATGGGATATGCAAATCATACGTGGGAAGTAATTGAGAGAGGAAGCAAAAATACAGAAAACACTAAATAAAAGGGCATTTTAAAGGAGTGTTGAAAATGAGAAATGAAAACTGCTTTCACATTTTTAATCCTTAAGCCTTGAGTTTGCCATACTAATTCAGGCAAAAGAGGACCAACAGTGTCATAATGCTCGTTATATGCATAAAAAGAAATTTGCATCCTGGTGCGTGAATAACGTTTGAGTTAGGTACAGAAATCTCGTGTTTGTATCATTGACATCTGAAATAAAGCACTTGCTGCTGGTAGGGCGGGGTTATATAAGGTGTGACAGCACATAAAAAGCAACCAGATTGAAAATGCTACCACACATATTTGGACACTAGAGACATAGGCCTTATTAAAAGTCACTATCAGTATGCATCCCTTTTTTGATACCAACAAAGTGTACGGCCTATGGCCTACTGCTGATTCAACTAGGTTCGCAGTAGCCAATCCTCGTCCACGTTATTTAATGGATATTTTTCACTTCAGCTATGTAGTTTTATGCTAAAACTGTCAGATTGTGTACAGAGCATATTGCTTAAACTAATATTGTAAGAAAGATATAATAACTTTTGTCATATAATAGGAGGACTATTTGTGTATCAGTTCCTCATTTCCGCCATAGCTCATCACGCAAAGCGGCTTGTTATTTAGGGTGGCAACAAAGTTCCTGTACATCTCAGTCCGTTTTTTTTTTTTTTTTTTTTTTTGCAAACGTTTAGGTGGTATCACATCTGTTTCACTTACGCGTCTTTTATTTGACTTTTATGTCTGAAGATTGAAAGAGTCGGACAAACTGTTAAAGAAAATAAATACTTTATTACGCGATCTTAAAGAACGCAGTCGTAGGGCAAACACACACACACACACACACACACACACACGATATGATTTGTGCACTATTGTAAATACATGTATATTACACCAAACTGTTACGCGACACATTTGGCATTGGGCAGGTACAAATGTACCTTGGTTCATTTCCCAGCAGGCACGCCATCTGCGTGTGGCAGGCATCCCGAATGACAGTGATTTGCGTCCATATGAACGCAATAGTTGACATAAAGATAGTTTAATTCAAAAGGTCTAAAGGAGGAAAAGTTTTTTCTTTAGTCTAATTATCTTTTCCCTTGTGCCAAGACGAGAGACATCTCTGTGGGACACAAAATTAAATTATGAGCCAAGGGCGATGTCACCAAATACAGTCGCTACAGGTTAACATTTAAGTCAGCTTTGCCAAATAAAGGTGATGGTTACAGCATGCAGCTTAAATTGACTGCATGAGTTCAAAAATTGAATAAAACATTAATTCTGATCACGTTGAAATCTCCCCATTGACAATTCATAATAACAACGTACCATGTAAATAAAAAAATCAAAGTATTGCTGCCCTTTGTTCTAGGAATGGCAAAGCTACAATGGAAAATGTAACTTTGACCGTGACTTGTAGGGGGTCGAGTTTGAGATTTTGCAGAGCGATTGATATCTTTCAACAGAAGAGCAAACTTTGAAGTTAAGGTTATACAATCTCAGACCGGGTGAAATAAGCTAAAACATTCCACTGTTCAAAGAAACTGCGAACCAATCCAAGACAGCGGTCACACACGGTAGATGGATTGATCTGACTTCACCCAAGCGAATCAATCAGGGTTTAGTTTTTGAGTAATGTTACCACTAAATGTAATGGTTTTTTGATGCCTAGACATTTACAGCTCAATCAAGATGTACCTTGTTTTTCGTTTAATGTTTATACCACTGGGAAGTAAACTTCTGAATGAAATATATCTGAACTCCTATTTCCCCCGCAGGTCAGGGGCTTGATATTTAATGTGTTTTCGCAATCATCTGTTAGGATTGAATCAGGTTTTATCCCTCGCGGTTTCTTAATACCTGAAGGGATTCTTACGACTCATTTCTATTGAAACTATCAGTCTAGGTAGATAGATCTAACTCCGCGGGGACTCTCGCTGAGTGCTATGAGTTGAAATGCCTCCTCCTGGCGTCGAGTTGAATGCAGAAAAGCTGGTGATTATACTTGTACGTTGTAAACAACAGGAGGCGTATCAATCTGTAAAACTGATTGCATTCAGCAAAAGTCCCCACAGAGTTAGATCGATCTACGTAGATCGGTAGTTTCAATGGGAATGAACCCTTAGTCTCATGCAGTAGGACTATATTTTGCCAGTAATGGTACACACTATCCTTTCCTGATCCTCAAAAAATTATCTTTGAGACATATGCAATTTTTGAGAAGTGTCATAAATTATACGGTCCAGAGACGAACAAGCGCCCTCTAAAACGCAAAATATGAGTTAGGAATCTCACTAAAAATATCAAAGTAAACGTTACTATACGAAAATAAACTGCATGAGTAACTTTAAGCATAAGCATAAGCAATTATACACAAGAGAATGATACATGTTACTACTATAACCCGCAGTTCTTCGCCGCCCGCGATGAATTAAAAGTATGCAAAGTAAATCATCAAATGACAAAATCTGGAGCTTTCCCGAAAGGCATTAAGTTACAGATAGAAAAAAACTACGAGCCAACAATAT